AAGAAATAATATTCAGTTTGCCGCAAATGGGTTTGTCTGTCTTTATTTTTTTTCCTATAGATTTCTGTTATATGTATATGAAAACAGCTTGTACATGTATATGAACCAACAACTATATATGCCTTTTCTTTTAGTTTGTTTTTTTCATAGTCTAGTGTGGAGCATGAACGGGCGCTGGGCATGATATTAAAAAGAATGGCATTCTAATGTATTCCATCCTTTTTGCTCTTCCCCCAATGGTGAAGAGATCAACTCAGATATATATCTTTCCCTGGCTTTTCTGTCTCTTCAATATCTGCATGGTTTTTCGCGTGAAATATTTTGAAAGAATGCTTTCATGCTTATGGAATTGCCACCTCTCATTATTTTTTATCTTTTCTTCGCTTTTCTTATTTCTTCGAGTATGGCACTTGCTTCTTTATTTTTTCTTACATCTCTTCTGCAGGTGGGGTACAACGTTGTAACGCCACGTCAACGGAATGTTGGGAAGGTGATTCTGTGCTTCATTTTTCCATCTGTATTACTCTAAATTTGATTAGCTTACTTTATCTCAAACAAATATTATTTTTCTGTAGGTTCGTGGCTATACTTTCAATATTAACTCAGGGGCAGTAGAATCTCTGGAGCTTGATTCCTTGGGAATATCCATAATACCATCCACCTTGGTAGGTTAATACGAATGAATTTTCTTTTACTGCAGCTACTTGTTGACCTCCTCCTATCTATCATTCTAGTCAGTAGTATGTTGCGTGCTTGACACTTGAACTTGGTTTATATCAGGTCAGCACCTACGGTTTATTTGTTGAGGATGTGGTTGACGTTTTATCAGATACCATCGTTGTTCATGAAGCTGCAGCCTCGCGCCTACAGAGACTTACTAAGGTACTTTGGAGTGTTCACAGTCAATTAGTCAATGTTAGCGGAGTAACTGCTTCCCTTTTGATATTTTTCTTCGAAGTTCTATCTGTGCTGGCCTATGAATTTCTGTACTTTGAGACTTTTGAGTTTACCAAGTTAGATGACGAATTCTTCACCCTACCAAAATACCCTCTTTTCCTTGATTAGGAAAACCGATTCATGTGATTGAGCCACAGTTAGACTTAGTCTGCTTGATGGCAGAAATGATAATAATTCTAACCGTGTCGTAATGACATTGACCAGGGATTATGGGATGCCCAGAAAATGGCTTACTCTGCAGATGAAATGCAAGATTATAGCAACTTAAGAAACACACGTGCTAAGCCGGAGTATAGCAGAAGTCGTAAAAAATCTTCAGGAAAAAAGTTACGGAAGAAACTGAAAGAACTTGCTGATGATTGGGACCTCCCTATGGATTTCTTTTAATCTGCTAGATTTTCCACAATGTATATCACACCAAAAGGACACTGATTCTCTGTCCTTTCTCTAAATCTAGATTTCTCCACAATTTTTACGTTAACGGTGTAAGACACAATTTGCCCATTTTTGAGCGACGTTTCCATTTTGGTATTTGTTTTAAGAGAGGGTCTGTTTTGGTACGTTGTGTCAAAATAACTGCCTTTTTGGCACCAGACTCTTGTAATCTGTACAGTGTCTAACACAGTCTCTGAGTTCATGTAGTTAATTGCATGACCAAAGTGACCATCTGTACTTATTTTTTCTTCTTGAATTTTTATGACACAATGGCAGTAGCTATGGGGTATGGCGTATGGGTGGCAAATTTGTCACAAAACCATGTAACTAGCTTGACCCGCTCATGTTTTAATGGGTTTTGCTAGAGTGAGAAAAGGAAAAAGGTTCGAATATGCTGTCGAACTTTGAGAAAAAGCTCATATATGTCATTCGTTAATAGTTTAGCTTATCTGTGCCATTTTCATTTGAGAAAAGGCTCATTTATGTCATTACTAGATAATAGCACGGGCCCAATAATATAAATGGTATGTTTTGGGGCAAATAACCGAGTTTTTGAAGCGATTGTTTGCGTGGATAAAGGAATAAGTTTTTTTATCACAAATTTGTACTTTCTTTGACGCTATTTAAGGCATAATAAGACTACCCACATACAACATTTTGTAAATATTTTATGTTGTCAATTATCATGATTTATAGTATTTTTACGATAGATTCACTTCAAGAATCAGTGGAATTTTTTGTATTTTTTTCAAAACATATTTTATGTTGTCAATTATCAAGATTTATAGTATTTTTACGCAATTTTTAAATATATATAAAAAAGACAAATAAATTAAAATGGACCCAATATATGTTATTTTTGTTGTCTCAATTTATGTGACACAAATGAAATTTGGAAAGTCATCCAAATTTTCATATCTTTTTTTAAAAAATGTTTTAAGTTATTAATTATTGTGATTTATAATATTTTTATGTAATTTTGAAATAACGTACATTACTGGTCACTTTGTCCTAATTTTAAAAAATGTTTTAAGTTATTAATTATTGTGATTTATAATATTTTTATGTAACTTTGAAATAACGTACATTATTGGTCACTTTGTCCTAATTTATGTGATATTGATAAAATTACAAAATTAACCCTTTTAAAATGTCTTTAAGATATTTTAAGTTGTTAATTATTATTATTTATAATACTTTTTTGGTAATTTTAAAATGATATATGTTATTTTTTCTGTTCCAATATATGTGAGCCTGATAGAATTCTGAGAGTCAACCTATTTTATTATATAACTTTTAAATATTTTAAATTGGTAATTATTGTAATTTTTAATGTTTTTTAAGTCATTTGTAAATGGTATATGTTGCTTCCTTGATTGGGACTTTTCCATTTGTGATATATATATATATATATTATTTTAAAAGGGAGTTTATGCCCAAGTTCTACTATATTTATATATTATACTTGGGCATAAACTCCCTTTTAAAAGTCCCACAAGTATAATATATAATATTTAAGATTGGAAAAAGTCCCAATCTTGAATATTATACATTATACTTGGCCCTAAACTCTCTTTTATAATATAGTAGAATTTGTTACCTGAAATGGCATAAATGAGCCAAATTTTTATTAGATGACATATATGAGTTTTTTTTCAAAGTTTGATGAAATATTTGAGCATTTTTCCCTTTTTAAAAATGATTAATTAATGACGTGACCGAATCATAAGTGACCACGTGTAAAAAATAGTTCAGCAAAATCGGAACTATTTTCAATTCACAAATA